AAATAACATAGAAATGCTAATTTAAATAATGCTAAATTAAATAGTTCCAATAATAATGAGTTTAACGAATATTTATAAATATGAGGAACAAAATTATTACAGAATTATAAAAAATATTAAAAATAGTTATTATAGAATATTAAAAATAATATATAAAATATTGATATATACATATCCTGCTTTAGTATTTAATAATATATGATATTATTACACAAATATTTTTCCCGGAAAAAATTGAAGATTCGAAACATTTTTACGCGTAAACTTGTCTATTTTATTTTGATTTCTTTAAACGTGTTGTACATACTTTAATCATGTTATTTATGTCTCATAAATCTTCGAAGAGAATAGAATATTCTTACACATGCTATTGACTGACCCGTGCTATCGTGCTTCGACGAAATGCAAATAATCTTTATAGGAGAGATGTTGCTCGTGTGTCGGCAAGAAGGAATATAAAAGAACTATTGGCAACACCGCTAGTCTAAGCCGATCTCTTTATGTACGAGGGTCCCTATGTATTGGGTTGTCCGGAAAGTTCGTGCCGATTTTGAAGGAAAATTGAAACGCAGAAGATTTAAATTTTAGTATACATTTATTAAATTATATAGGTTAGTCGGCACGAACTTTCCAGACAATCCAATAGATAAGTGTTTGCTTCGTCCACTTGAAAAAAAATTAACTTTCGTATAAATACTTTGACGAAAATATTTAGCTAAAAAAACAATCAGGCGTCCAACGAACATTGCGATCATTCCACATTTAAAAATTAATCCGAATTGTTAATGCAAAAAATTTGTATAAAATTTATATAGTTTCATCGCTCGTGCGTCATTTCGTATATAGTCATTGGATTATTATAATTTGACTTTCAAATTTTTATACAATAGTCTTATTATAATTGTGCGATAAGAACTTGTGTGATTTTATACAAAATTCTTTGAAATGTATTTGTCTTTATCGTCATTTCCTATCATGCAGAAGCTGTGTGAAGAGCGCTTCGGATATGGGTAGTGCAAGCATTTGTAATTAATTCTCAAAAATGATTTTTTGGAAAATGAATATATATTGTGGAATTTATAATAAAATAATTAACTTGTCATAAATAATTTTCAAAATTTAAAAAAAAATATTAAGTGGTGGAGGCCAGGTTATTAAAAAATAACAAGAGTTGTATTATCATTTTAAAGTATTCTGAAATCATTTAACTCCTATTTACAAAATTTTTCTATTTTTATAGACGATATTCGTTTCGAAAGAAAATAAATTTTTTTTTACAGAGATGTTCCATTCCTTAAAAAAGTGCATGAGAACAAGTACAAAATAGACATCTTTTTTTTGTTAAAAAAGGAGAAACTTTACAAGTACTTCCTATGGGGAAGTTTTCAGATTGCTTTTTATCGATTACATTTCTTTTTAGTATCTAATCCATTATTGAAGGCAGACAGCAAACGGCAATATATTACCTGAGTGTCTCCAGTATTATTTTGATCTACATATAAGATCTAGACTACATATAAGAAATTTACAAAATTTTTCATATAATTTTTCAGAATTTCTATATAATTTTATAACTTTCTCATATTTTTTGTATGAATTGGAACATTTCTCAAAAACTCTACATCTTTTCTCAGAATTTTTTATATATATTAATTATAAAATATCGTAAGATTTTTAAAATTTTTTGGAAGTATAATTTCTGACGTGTTGTATAATTTCTGAAATGTTATAAAATTAAAAAAAAATTTTAAATATTTTTTAAAAATCATGAGATTTCAAAATATTTCAGAATTCACTTGTATGAAAAATTCTGAGAGAAGATGTAAACTTTCCAAATATTTCTGAGTATTTCTGAAAAATGTTTCAATTCATATAAAAATTATGAAAAAAATTTTCACCGGAGTAATATTTAAGTTATAGTAAAAAATAGCAGTTATAGCAAAAAAAATTAATGCTTTAAATTAAGTTTTGTTCAAATCATATCAATAAAATCGTGTAATTTTTAAATTTAAATATTTTAAAGTTTCTTTTCATCATGACATACTTATATATGAAGAACAATTACGAAAATAATTCTTGAAATTTCTACTCTGCTTAATAAGCTGCTTAATCTGCCGGATTAAAAAAGAAAAGATATTGCTTCAAATTATTTAAATTTAAGATGATATAACAAATGTCATAAAATACAAGATATGCGAAACTTGATCCAAGTTATCTTTGCATCACGAAAAGAGATATCCGTTCCATACAGATAAATTATCGCTCTGGAACGATATAGTAATTTTCGCACTCTTGCTAAGAAATCTTATAATAGACAGTTATATATTTTCAAGAAATATAATCATTGAAATATATGATCGTTCAAATATATATTTTGATTAAATATCAAAAGAGAGAATATTAAAAAGGAGATGCAAACCAATGCAATTCATATCTTTAAAAAAATCAATAACTTTGACCGATATATCACTGTGTCATGTGAAATGAGATGAAATTTCTATCTTTATATTAATTTATAATTTTTAAGAATTTATAATGTTTTCAAAAATATGACTAAGTCGATCCTGCCAGGATTCGAACCTGGAATCTTCTGATCCGTAGTCAGACGCGTTATCCGTTGCGCCACAGGACCGTATTAAAACCCTTTTCTTTCGTAAAGGTTCATCAAATTAATTAACATGAATCTATATTTTGAACATTACAATATATATATATATAAATCTATAATTAATTTAATCGGAGTTTGATCAAATTATCTGATATATGAATAATAAAAAGTTGTAATAAAAAGAAACTTTAAAATAATTTGAAAATTACACAATTTTATTAATATGATTTGGACAAAACTTAATTTAAAACAATCAACATTTTTTGTTACTATTTTTTACTATAACTCAAATATTAGCTAGAATTTTGTAAACTTTATTATATGTCTAAATTAACCTACACAGAAAAATATCATTCTACTAAGACAAATGATTACTCAATTTATTTTGGCTACGAGATGACAGAGACATAAAATATTCGAGGAGAAATAGTAAAATCATTTTAACATCGCAAAAATTTCGAATAAGAATATGTGATAAAACTGTTATATCAATAGCGATGATTAAATCGCAAATTTGTTTTAATTTTATTAAATTGTACACTGAGGATGACCCGATAGGGATTGAAACGTATGATTATGTTTTTATATGTATTTATATGTATTTATGTACTTCTAATTTAATCATTAAATATTAGATTGATTTCCAACATTAGTTCATCATCTAGTTGAGACTCGTAGTTCTGATTACAAAATAATTTTTATCATTTGATCTATATATATATGTGTGAACGCACGTGCGTGCGTGCGTGCGTGCGTGCGTGCGTGCGTGCGTGCGTGCGTGCGTGCGTGCGTGTGTGCGTGTGTGCGTGTGTGCGTGTGTGTGTGCGTGTGTGTGTGTGTGTGTGTGTGTGTGTGTGTGTGTGTGTATGTGTACACATTCATTATTCCATTTACTTTCTTCTTTTAAATAACGTTATTTTTAATTAAAAATATTTTCTTGATAATAGATTTAAAATATATTTGTAACAAATTTTGAAAAAATTCATTATTATATATGTGCTCAAAATAAGAACTTATTTTCTTTTGAAAAATATAAAATTGATTGAAGAAATGACTTTATGTAATAAACAAATCGAATTTATTTTAAACAACAATTTTTTATCAATGACTGAGATATCGTTAACGCAAGTTGGACATTTTTTTTTATTTCTCAATGTTTTGGATTTATTTTAATTTTATGTTATTGACTTTCTTTTATTACAATTATCAATCAAAAGCAATATATACACACTAAATATATATGTTTTTATCTAATTATATTTTACTCAATAGTATTTATCTGAATAGTATTTATCTGAATCTACTGCTATATCATAAAATAGAAATTTATTTTTAGTGTGCAGGTAATAAAAATAAAAATTTTAAAAATTTAAATGATGTATTACAATACAGTTCGTAACTGTTATGTTTACAAAATGAAATTTATGTAAAATCTGTAAAATCTGTAAAATATTATCTAGTATTAAAGTTTGTCGATATTCTAGCATTTAGCTGACCTTCGTTTATCATATTTACACTTCTTTTCATTTATCTGAAATTTACATGCTTTATGAAATAATAAAAAAAATCAAGTATTTTGCGTTTCAGCCTATCTGTGTCTATTTCCAGTTGCTGATATTGCAAGATTACATGGCAGACAAGTTTTTAGATAAAACGATGATGTGGACAAACTTTAAACCTACTGAAAGTCAACGATGAATGAGTTCATGCCTGTTTGTATGATAAAAAATCCTATAGTCCTTGCAAATGTTGATAACATATGCACAAAAAATTGTAGTCAACTGTAGTTGCAAAAAAAATTGGCACACAATACTCAATTTAAAAAAAAAATTATATGCCAAAAAGTAAAAATAGAAAATTTTCGCAAATTTTCGCTATTTTTTTCTTCCATTTTCTTCTTCTTTTGGATTTATGATCAAAAACAATTTTGTATATATCTAATCGATAGATTTAATTTGACTACAAAAAAGTTCTCTTAAAGTTATTTCATATTTTGCATCGTTTTTTCGATCGATATATTAAAAATAATGAAAAATAACATTTTTTATTAATATCTCCGAAACGCGTCACTTAATTTAATAGCATTTTTTAACTTATTTATATGTTATTCGAATGATCGAATGAATCAATAAAACTGCACTAAAGAATTAGTTCCTTTCAAAAAACTCTTCCGATAGTAGCCTATCATGCATGCAAACGAAACACAGCCTATGCAAACATGGCCGCCTGTCACGAAACATATAGCTGTGCTAACTTTACTTTGTATTTATTAAAGAAAGTCAGTATGAAAGTCAGTTCTTTGTTAATATTATAAAGCCATTTTTTAGAAACAATCTTATGCAGGAACTGAAAGTTAAAACTTGTGACAAAGTTTAAGGGCATTTTTTGTAAATGAAATTTAATCAAATAAAATTTATAAAATGTGAATGATAAATATAATTAATATATTTAGAACATGTATAAAGTGAAAAAGTTAATAAATATCCTGGATAAAAAATTTTTATGAAAAATTACACAGATGAGATAAGATCTTAAAAATTCTTAATTTTTCGTAGATATTCTTAGTGCGATATAAAATGGCGTTGCTTGTTTGAAAAACTAAGAAATCCTCCATCTTTTCCATATACGCCTTCGCTGATGCCAGCCTGACGTTGCATTACGAACTGTTATGGGACATTTTTTTCATATCTTATGTTTCAGAAAACAAATATCACTCTACGTCTCACTATGAATATCTACAAAAAAACTAAGAATTTTTAAAACAAACCTCACTCTACATTCTACTACAAATATCTACGAAAAATTAAGATTTTTTAAAATCTTGTTTTCTATATTTTTCCGTAAAAATTTTTTCTGTCAGAGATAACTCTAAAATTTGTCATGAACATGAATTATAGTATACATTTCGTAATTATATGATATATTACTCCAGGAAACTGAGATTTTCATACATAAAAGTTAATTTTTGAACATAAATAAACTGTCGATTTTTGGTTGTCTATGGCCATAATCATACTACAGGTTGTCAATTATGATTGCTGGTTTAGTCAGTTATGATTATCTGTTTTATTTTAGCCAATCATGAGAAATTTCTATAATTTATAAGTGAAGTTTATAAGTATAAATTATAAGTTAAGTTTCTCTTTAAAATGGTTTTTAATCATTACGCTACAATTCTTTTCTAAGAATTAAGAGATTTAAAGTGAATAATACATTTTCTAGTCTTTTCTCTAAAAATTTCTCAAAATTTTGCCGTCGGTAGCATTATCCGATATTCACTTAATTTATATTTTCGTTTAATTGTCTAAGAGCTCAATTTAGAACAAATACCAATTATTTTTACCGTCAACTCGGTGCTGTTTCAGATTTATTCGATCGCGGCAAATGTATCTGCAAACATGGATATTTGCAATAGCACACATAACTTATGCCCGTAAGTATCTTTCGTGATGGCTGATTTTTTTTTAGGAGAGATAGTCAATAAAACGTCACTCTCAGCCTTCTTGATATTCAACGAATAATAAAGATAACAACATTGTTTGATTATTGATGGTTTTTATTTGTTGATACAAATCAACTGTAAAGTATCATTTTATCTTTGTTACTCGCTGAATGTTAAGAAAGATAAAATAATACTTGTGTCGATTTGTATTATCAAAAACACCTTGGAAAGCACCCTGTCTGTTAAAAGAAAAGCAGCCGACATTATGGAATTACATGCAGCATTCACAAAGCTCGTGATGTCATATTTCTGTTAGAATACGTCGTCGCCAAACGCGGTGTATGCAACGGCTACAAGTCCGGCATAGACGATCTTCAGACATTCGAGTTTATCAGCAAGCTGAAATTGGATCTGTTGGACGCGCGTTACAGTGGCATGACGAAGGTCCGAGGCAGTAATCGCATGCAGACGGCATACCGGCTGGAGAAAGGCACTGATGTCACCCTCCCGACGAAGTATTCAAATTAGCTCGCGTAGAAACAACAGTCTGGCCCGACTTGGTCCATAGACTTCAATTAACTCGGCGATTAATTCAACCGGCAGAATTAGCTTAAAGCAAAATATTCAATTATTTAATGTGTTGCCTCTAAAAATTCTACTAATATCGATGAAAATATAAACATTGATTAAATCAAAGTTTCAAAATCATCCTTAAGTCCATTTCTGTCAATATAAATTAATTACTTTGATCTCAATTAAATTTACTTGTTATTCTCTTCTAATTCTAAGAATTAGAAAAAGATAGATAATAAATTAAACCAGATTAAAATTAATTTATATTGGAAAAATGGACATTAATCAGTATGAGCTCTTTATGTAGAATTTACAAGAGCTTTAAAATTGTAATTTAAATATTTATCTATTTAAATGATAAATCGAATATAGCATTGCAAATTTTTTCAATTAATTAATAAATTATTAATAAATAATAAAATTTTTCAGTATAGTCCTCAATACGTTTTTCTGTTAAAGGTATTGATTAGCGAAGTGCTAATCCTCCTTTTACGCCTTTTACATCCTTTTCTAGAGACATCATACCCAGCGGGCTTCCAGAAGAATTCTCGTTGGTGTACACGCTGAGAGCTAGGAAATCACCGAAGTATCCTTGGCATGTCATTAAGATTGCGAACGTGAACGGTGACGCTCAGTTTCTCATCACAATGAATTCCAGGAAGCGAACACTGGATTTTTCATCGATCGACCATAAGGGAGAATTACAGACGATCTCTTTTGTGAATGATCGCGTGAGTGCCATCATTTGCCACATCCATCATCGTTCTAGAATAGTTTGTTTCGCGCGTGACAGTTCTCCATTCCTTAAATAAACGCTTGTCACTAAACGGAATGATGAAAGCAAAGTCATGGAGAATCGTCTGAATTAATAAATCATCGACGTTTTTTTTGTTTGGAAAAAGCAATATTTATATCTCTCTCTATTGAAATATTGTATCGTCCCAGATAGGAGATTCTAAATTCGAGCACGCCCCGATTTGCGATAATACGCTGTGGAACATGTAATAACACAAAATCGTAAATTCTGTCGAGTGGATCGTTTCTTCAAAGTATTGCCAAGAAAAGAGAGAGAGAGAGAGAGAGAGAGAGAGAGAGAGAGAGAGAGAGAGAGAGAGAG